CGGAAATTGCGGTTTGGTCGATCTAGTGTGAGGACGCACATGCTCCGTTGAACTTTCATCGACAATAAAACGTTAACGCCTAGACATGTGAACACAAACACCAGTGCCCAAAAAGAAACACCAGTAGTAGAAAAATTTATAACTTAGTATAGATTTTATTTAGGTTTATGTTTGTTAAATATAAATAAATCTATAACTAAGATATACATGATCAATGGGTATGAATTTTTTTACTACAGTTTAATTATACAATAATTAGCTCACCATAAAAAATTTATCACAATTGAACCATAGAAACTGCAGTTATGAGTTATTCCAGTTAATTATACAAAAGCATATATTTAAAGTCACAGCAAAAACATTGTACTAAAGCAGACCATATTATATGTTCACTGTGTAGATCTACTCATGTAGAGTCCAACAAAATTGGATTTTCCATTTGATGATTTTTCTGTGATTTATTATTATTTTTCAAAGATTCAGCCGAAATAAATAAAAAAAAAACAAAAAGACAAAACCGCCTTCAAAACTGCTTATAACAGGGCCAGGGAGGTAAGATGAACGGTTTTAAAAGTTGAGGGAGGTGTTTTGCCCGGTTTTAGAGTTCAATGAGGAAAAGTGGACTTTGCGAAAGACGAGGGAGGTGATGTGGACCTTTTCCCTCCACAAACCACCCCTGGCCCTGCCCACCGCGGGACGCAACGGCTTACATGCGCGCACACATGGGCCGCCGGTCTCCGCCAAGTACGGACGACCACGCCGGCCCATCCGCACTCGTCCTATCACGATCACTACGAAAATTCCATTTTTGCCCTCCGTAACTATTGCCATAGTCCATGCTTTCTTATCTCGAACCCCTTTTTAATTAAAAATTATTCTTCACTTGATAAGATTTATAAACCACAAAAACATATTTAACCATCTAAAAATTTCAATAAAAATCTTAAGGACAGATTGGGACACAAGAAACCGAAATACGTATTTACATTCATGAAAATATATCTAGAAACTTTCAAAAATTCGATTGACCTCTGCAAAAATAGGAAAGTATATAACAAAAAAATATTATTGAAAACTCTCAAAACACTGTACCACTGTCTAAATGTGTTTTTAAAACTTTCAACAACAAGAATAATGAGTGTAACCAGCTTGAATGCAACATACATTCATGCTTTATACACTCGTGGTTTGTTTTGGAAAGTTCTTAAATGTACTTAGACATTGATTAGAATATTTTGTGAGATTTCTTGACATTTTTTCTATTTTCTTAGAGATAAATCTAATTTATGCATGCTTCTAGATATATTTTCATGAGCTCTAAATTTTTGTTTGGGCCTTTTGTATCCCAATCTATTTCTAAGATTTTCTCGACCTCTAAAGAAACAACTAGAGACAGAGATGTCAATACATAAAACGGTTATAATAGGTATAGAGATATCGACTCATGTTCGTACAGGATGGCTAGGGCTAGGATATAAGGATTATAAAATGTTAAAAGCTAGATTGCTAAAAGACAGTGTACAAGTTGAACCTGTATCCCCTACAACTTTTAGGTCTTTTTTATAGGTGTGTTTGGGAGCAGTGGCGGATGCAGAACATGATTGAAGGGGGGTTGGTCTCTTCTTCTTCCTCTCTCTCTCTCTCTCCATATTTCTTCTTTCCTCCACCTCTTCTTCTCCCCCACCCTCCCCATATTTCCATTGATGCACCAGATGTAGGGGGGCTGGAGCCCCGCCCACCCCCCCAGATCCGCCTGCTTGGGAGAATTCAACTCCACAAAATACAGTTCACTCCACCGAATCCACGTCAACGCCTCCAGCTCCACAAAAATGTGGAACGTGAGGGCTAGGTCCAATGATTTGGTGGAGCTCCCGAAAGGTGCTCCAAAAACTAGGTGTCATACCTCCTCCTTGAGTTGGGAGGTAATTACCCATCGTACCACTAGTTTCACACCCCAATCCCGTACCACTTCATTTGCTTTCCTGTCACCCCCCTACCCAAGGCACTCTTTCTTGTGCAAGTTGAACAATGTAGGCCCCTCATGTAACCCTAGGCATCGCGACCCGATCACGACAGTTTGAGGACTTCAAAGGACTTGGAGATGACCCGACAAAAGCATATTCCTCTAGTGATGCTCCACTAAATCCTGCATTTTCTCCTCAATTTCTCTTCCTCGCTCTGCCTGTCTCCTCCCACGACAACAAGCCATGGTGTGAAGCGTGATGTTGTAATCCATAAACTGTGGGGTCTTACAAGCCATTCGAGGTGTGCAAAGGGTGCCAACTTTTAATATTGTTATATAGTTTGGTAGTTCGATTATAAAAGCTGATCTACATAACTAGAACTTTTACAATGTGCAATCCACGAGCTCTAGGGCCAAAATAGGGCTTTATGAACAATGTTTTGCTACAGTTGACACTATACTCCAACGACGCCTATCAGATACTCCGTGTGTCCCAAATAATTATAGTTAATTTTGTCTTAATTTAGCCTAAGTCAAACTTCTCCAACTTAATTCTAATTTATAGAAAAATGTACCAAATTCTAGAACATCAAATTAGTTTTATCGAGTTCTCCATGAAATATGTTTGACGCATCATTTAATTAAACTTGTATATGTTTATTTTTCTCTAAACTTTGTTATAGTTAGAGAAGTTTAACCTAGGATACAATACTAGAGTGAAGTATAGTAATTTCAAATTGAGGGAATAGTTAATTATGGCGTTTTACATGAATGACCTTTAAGAAAAAAAAAATAACTTTAGCTGTATATTGTCCACGTAATCGATTCTTCCGAAAGCAAATAGGATCAATTGACCGTACGTACCCTATATAGCCAGGAACCGGCAACGTAGTCAATAAAGCGAAGCGTAACATCCTATGTGTGGACTTGTGGAGAAGCTTATATATCCTCAGCAGATTTGAAGCCTATCCATAGCGTAACAACCTACCAACGACATGCACGTCCGTCCACAAGACGTCCCGTACACATTCGTATTTTTGCACGCGGAATTACGTACGTGACGGCACGTATACTACGCGTAAAGCTGCTTCCAGAAATTTCTGGAGGCCCTCAGCTAGCCGTATGTCGCCGCTGTTTTTTGTGTATAAAAGCTACCAAAGAGGCCCGTCCCGAACCCAACTACCGGCCCCTTCCGGCCGGAGGCCTTTGCTTAGCTGTTAACTACTACTAGCTGCTCCACACCATCTGGATCTGGTCGCAATGGACCAGCTTCTCGTCCTCCTCTTCCTCCTCACCATGGCCGCGTCCACCTGCCTCACTACCACGCTCACACCGGCGGGTCCACAGCCGGTGGAGGCCTTCCTCGTGTTTGTCGTGTGGGCTCTGGCGTCGACGGCGCTCGCGGTGCTCCTGCCGCGCGCGCGCCGAGGCGGCGCCGAGTGATGAACTCCCCGACCCACGGCTGCCGCCGTCTCCTACCCCACGCCCTTCCGTACATCCATGTTTGTCTTCTTTACCCCGGCGGCCATCCCTTTTTTTTTTCTTGGGCTCGTGCCGTCCCCTGACGACACGCGCGGCTGTTCACCGGCGAGGCGGCGACCCACACGTGGATCGAGCTCGATCGCCGGACTTTTTTTTCCCCCTTCCTCGCTTTCTTCAGTTCTATACACTGTACGCTCCGACGTCGTTCCTTGTTGGAGTTGGGGGCACGATGCAGAGAGTTGCTGAAAGACTGAGAGTTGGACATGCAAGGGTCACCTTCGTACGTGATCTGATGCTCCAAATGGCCAAGATCAGTCGACGCAACGCTTCTCTGAATAAACTATCCATGGACGACAAGGAACTGCTCTCGACCCGTCGACCGTGCTACATATACGGTTGTACACCTGTACCCACGCCCACTATATATCTACGCCGCCTCTAACAATTGTATCCGTCCACGTACATATCTATATTTTTATATATACTAGGTAAATAACCGTGCGTTGCAACGGGAATACGTAATACTACGATAACATATGTATACCTTGATGGCCTGAATGTTGGTTTGTGGACCTTCCTCACCCACTCCAGCTTCAGTGAGTCATCCACTGAAAACAAAAAAGATTAGAAAATTAAAAGAAACCTCTACTCAAACCAAACAGAAACAGAAGATCAAAAGAAACACTGAAAACATTTTAACTTGGCTTTACGGAAGGGAGGGAGAGGCGGCGGCGTGGGCGATCGCGGGGTGAGGACGACGGCACGGGTGCAAACAGCGACGTTAACGTCGCGTGTGTGACGATGTGTGCCACGAGGGCCTTCTCGGCGTCCGTGTCGGACGGTGGGCCCTCATGCCAAGGTCCTTGTGGTGGTGGGAGAGCCGGGGTGGCCGACGGCGTTGGCCGGCTCCGCGACGTCCAGCCGGTTGTACCTGGAGTTGGCGTTGGTGGCGGCCGACAAGCTCTCGGATGCAGGTCGATGCCCCGGGAATGCACGTAGGATCGCTGCGAGGTGAGGTGCGACGCGGACGCCCTGACGGAGCTGGGCGCGCACGGGACCACCCGCTGGTCGCTCCTGTTGTACCACGTCGGCCCGAAGCCGCCGCCGGTGTGCAGCGTCGTCGGGCGGCTCAATGCGGAAGCCCGGCACGCTGTCTTCCAGCGAGCTGTAGTGGTGGTTGGTGCTCTTCTAGTTGGCGCGCAATGGCGAGGTCCTGAGCTGGCGCGGCGCCCTTGGAGTCGTCTCTTCCCGGATTGACGGATACAGAGCCCTTGCCTCCTATGCCCGCTGTTTTTTGCCTGCTGGCCTCCTGGCCTCGGAGCTTGGCGTTGTATTCCTTGCAGGGCGGGTACTTGGGCAGGCTCGCCTGATCACACGCCAACGGCTTGGTCCTCGCTGTCCAGGCCACCGTGCCCCGTGCCGACGGCTCGATGGCGAGCAGCGTGTCCAGGAGCGCCAGGGCAGTGGGGGGAAAGTCCTTGAACGTCTCCACGATCTTGCGGCGGTACGGCCGCTGCGGCTTGAAGAGCGTCACGTCGGGTAGTTTCGCCTTCGCCTAGTAGTCCTCGGACAGCGAGCCGCAGAGCTTGAAGATCCTGTGCAGCTGCTCGATCTCGGTCTGGCCGGGCATGATGGACTTGCCCGCGAGCAGCTCGGCGAGGATGCAGCCGGTGTTCCTCAGGTCCACGGCGACGCGGTACTCGGTGGGGCCGAGCAGGAGCTCCGGCGGGCGGTACCAGAGCGTGACGACGCGGCTGGTCATGGGTTGCGTCTTGCCGGGGTCGAAGAAGGTGGCGACTGGCGAGCCCGATGTCGGCGATCCGTAGCATGCCGTTGTCGCCGATGAGGACTTGAGGAGGTTGGAGCCCTTGATGTCCCGGTGCAAGACTCCGCGCGCGTGGCAGTGGCGCAGGCCCTCGAGGATCTGGCGCATGAAGCACTTGACCTGCGGCTCCGTGAAGCGCTGCCCGGACAGCGCGGCGAGGCCGGCGAGGTCGTGCTCCATGTACTCGAAGACGAGGTAGAGGCGGTGCGAGAGGCACGAGGTGACGATGCCTTCCAGCTTATCACGTTGGGGTGGTCAAGCCGCCGGAGGATGTGGATCTCCCGCAGTCCCGCACCATGAACCGCACGCTCTCCGGGTCCATGTCGACGAAGCGCACCCGCTTCAGCGCCACGATCTTGCCGCTCTGCAGGTCCCGCGCCTTGTACACGTTGCTGTACGTGCCCTGCCCGATCTTGTCCAGCCACTCGAACGTGTCGGCACGGCGGGGCAGCCACCCTCGCGATCTCTTCGGCGACGGACGTCAGCCAGGAGGGCCATCCGGCGATGACGTGCTCGCCGGAGAACCCCTGCGGCACGCTGGAGATCACCTGCTGCGCCTGCGTGCCGCCGCCACAGTCCGCGGCCGCGCTGCTGTTGTCCCCGCCGATGTCCACCGTGGCGCACCGGTGGTGCGTGGGCGCCCCGGCGGGGCTGTAGGATTTGCTGAGGGACGTGATGACCACCACGGGAGGCGCGGTCATCTCCACGGCCTCTTTGGCCAGAGCGGGCACGACGATGCCGCCGTTGGCCTTGGCGTCGGCGTGCACGACGACAGCGTCCTCCTCCTTGGCGGTGAGCGTGATGAGCTGCTTGAGGGACTGGCTTGACGCCTTCTGCAGGTGCGCCACGGGGTGCGGGGCGGCAGGCGGCGCCTCCACATGCCCTCCTTGGAGCAGAGTCCGCCCATCGCCGACGGACGGCGGCCACCGCGAGCGTTCTCGCCAAATCGATGCCGGCGACGCATGGAGGAACGAAAACGCGCTAGGTTGGACGGCGGGGTTCGATGCTGGTTCACGAGTCACGACGCGTTGGAAACAAAGGATGTGGTGGTGCAGGCGGTCAGCACGGCGCGATGATGAGGGACTGAGGTAGAGCTGCGACTGGCGATGGACGAGGGATCGAGGGCGTCGAGGGCGCGGGTCAAGGCGCGATCGCGTAACTGGTGGCGCGCGGTGATCGCGGGGTTAATGCCGTGGAACTGCTCCTCCGTTTGTTAGGGTGATTGATTTTTTCCCCGTGGAGCCGCTCTCCCGGTTGTTACGTGATTGATGATTTGACTTGCCTTGCTGTCCATGGATTTCCTTGCATGTTGCGCGGGGGAGCCGGAGAGGAAGAGAGCGCGAGGGACGCACGGTTTGTTTCCTTCCTTTTGAAATCAAGGGATCGAGGTTGGTATGATTTGACTTGCCTTGCTGTCCATGGATTTCCTTGCATGTTGCGCGGGGGAGCCGGAGGGGAAGAGAGCGCGAGGGATGCACGGTTTGTTTCCTTCCTTTTGAAATCAAGGGAGAGAGGTTGGTGTCGCACCCGGGGATGCATGGGAGCGAGCGGTTTTGGTGTCGCACCTATGGACGGAATAGTTATGAATGTTTTAGTTGTAGAGATTGGTATATCATATAAGGTGCTTCCACTCTTCCTTGTGTTTTGCCTTAATCTAGTGTATGATCGATTAGTCTCGAACTCTCGTTTACTTTCACCCATAATTTTCCTTCTTTTCACTGCCCTAGAACATCACATCAACCGGCTGCAGTGATGGGTTTTCCAGAAAACCAAATACGGGCTGAAAAAATAGTAACTTACTAAATACTAGAAGAGACCTGGCTGAACATAGAAACTATTTTTTTTGTTTAGATGGCGTCCTAATTAATAAACATAAAAACTATGTGGTTTCTGGGTTGCTAATGTCCTATCTGCCGTGGATATGATGTGGTTGTTGGCAGGACGGTGCACGTAACAAGTCAGGGCAGGGACCGCCACCGCTTGTGCCGTGTGGTCAATGGTTAGTGGTTCTCGTTTGCCCTCGACCAATAAATAAGTATTCCCTCCATTCTCAATTATAAGTTATTCCAACTTTCTAGAGAGTCAAAACATCTTAAGTTTGACCAAATTTATATAATAAAATAATATTATTTATAATATCAAATAAGAATAATTAAATTCTTCATTGATTATATAGTATAGCTATTTGATGTCATAATCCTTTGAAATTCTCTCTATAATTTTGATCAAACTTAAGATGCTTTGACTTAAATAGAATAATTTATAATAATTTGGAATAGAGGGAGTATTAGAAATTTAGGCATTTTCATGTTAAAATTAATCTAGAAAAATAATAATAAATTTGTGATGACAAATATGTGCACAGTTGTGATTTTACTACTGCTCAGATTAGTAGCAAATATGTTCATAAACAATATATTGATCATAGCGAAAATGAGATTGAATTTAACCAATTTGAGAATAGAGATTGACCCTACGGAGGGACCCATGCTCAAGGCACCGGTGGCTCCAGTCCCACTCATGGTGAGTTGCTCGAAGTCGCAGACCACAGTCGGTGTAGGAAGATATACGCACACTACGCCAGATTTGGACATCACTGCCGGCCCCATCACTGCCGAATTTGTGAGAACCGGCAGTGATGTACCTTCACTGCCGGTTATGAGCTCGAAAATAAAAAAATGATTGGGGCTGGGCTAAAACCGACAGTGAAGCACCACATCACTACCAGTTTGTGGCTTGAACCGGCAGTGTTTTGGCGGCCACTCATCACTGCCGGTTCAAGCCACAAACCAACAGTAATTGGGCTCTATCACTGTCGGTTCTAGCCAAGAACCGACGGTGATAAGCCTACAGCACAAAAAGGCTGCAGCCGTCCTCTTCTTCCTCCTCTGTTCCATCCTAAGAATAGAGACGCGCGTTTGGGCCCTTCCCTCCATTGTTGCGGCTGCTCTTCACCACGAAGCTAGCGCTTGGATTTTGAAGAATGGCTTGATCTTTTTGCTTTAAGGTTAGTAACAAACATCCACTCCTTTGATTTTGTTGCTTAATTAGCTTCGTTTTGATGGCTACATTGCTTGATTCTCATTCTAGTTCTTTCTCCATTCTAGACAGTACTTTTCCAATTAGACATTTGTGCAAGGCACAAATTATGGTGAATCCATCATCCAAACGGTTCGTGTATATGAACACATTTAAATTCCTAGTTAATTATTCCATGGTGGTCAAGATCATCATTGTTGGTATGTGATGCTATAATTACTTCTTAGAAGTAGAGTAGAATAGTTGTTCTTCAATATTGTGCAATAATTGTTTTTTACTACGATTTTCAATTTACAGGGCCAGGGCTACTAATTTTAAATTTTCAATAATTAGTGTCCAATAATGTTTTCCAAAAATGGTACTTTCGAGCTACAATTGTTGTTCATGAAGCTCGATTTCTTATTAATTCTTTGTAATTACTGTCTCAGTATTTTTTTTGTGTAGAGATGGATCGAGAGTGGATGTATCTGTCCCGAACGGACAAGCGGTACATGCATGGCGTCAGCCAGTTTATCACCGATGCCAAAGCCCATGCTGGGAATGTGAACCTTGTCTTCTGCCCATGCAAAGATTGCAAGAATCAAAGGAACTTTCGTCAAATTGAGTCTATTCGATCGCACTTGATTACCAGGGGGTTCATGCCAAACTATACGATATGGACTATGCATGGCGAGGTTGGTGTGAATGCTCTGCAGGAAAACGATGATGACGTGGACATGCCTGACGTAGCCATCCACGATGGTGACGAGGAACCCGGTGTCAACACGGAACCTATGCCCACAGTTAATAATGTGTTTAGGAACACGCTAGCTGACGACACCGAGGATAACGATGGCATTTCTCAGCTGCTACGTAATGTAGAGACCGAATGTCTTAGTGAAATACAGCTGAGAAAGCTAGAGAAAATGAGACAAGATGACAAAACATCATTGTATAGGGATTGTCCAATGAGCAAACTGGAAGCCGACATCATGCTGTTAGAGTTCAAATCGACAAACGGATTGAGCGATAAAGGCTTCGATCAGTTGTTAGGTATAATAAGGAAAATGCTCCTAGAAAAAAGGAGTTGCCAGAAAAGACATACTTGGCCAAGCAAATGATCTGCCCCATCGGCCTCGAGGTTGAAAAAATCTATGCGTGTTCCAATGATTGCATATTGTACCATGGAGAAAAATACAAAGAATTGAACAAGTGCCCCATGTGTGAAGCTCCACGGTATAAGGAAGGGCCATCAGATGAGGGTACCAAGACCAGAGGAGGTCCCGTAAAGGTCGTTTGGTATTTCCCTATAGCTCCCCGGATGCATAGGCTGTTTGCATGTGCAAAGTCAGCCAAGCTGTTGCGCTGGCATGGCGAAAAGCGTAAGAAAGATACAATGATGAGGCACCCTGTCGATGGGCATGACTGTAGGACTATCAATACTATGTTCTATAAGGACATCGGTGGAGAGGTAAGGCACCTTTGGTTTGCTTTGAGCACAGATGGGATGAATCCTTTCGACCAGGTTAGAAGCAATCATAGCACCTGGCCAGTGATGCTCTGTATACACAACCTTCCACCTTGGGTCTGTATGAAGCGGTCGTACATCCAGATGCCACTACTGATCCAAGGGCCAAGACAACCTGGGAATGACATCGATGTGTTTCTGGAACCAGTGATCGATGAACTAGTGGAGATGTTTGAAAAGGGTGTGCCGGATGTTTGGGACGAGTACAAAAAGGAACATGTCACGATCAAGGGAGTACTTATCGCTACAATCACCGACCTGCCAGGTCGAGGTTCGTTGTCCGGAGAGAAGACAAAATGCTATACTGGATGTGTCGAGTGCTTGAACGACACCGATGCGGTAAATATGCCAAATAACTCAAAGATAGTTTATATGGGACACCGTAGGTTCCTACCTAAGGATCACCCTTACCACGGGAACAAAAAAGATTTTAACGGTACTATTGAGAAACGCTTAGCTCTAAAATATCGAGACGGGCCTGCGATACTTCGAGAATTCAACAAACTAGAGGTTATCCTTGGGAAGGGGGACAATGCAGTAGCAGCGCCTGATGGGAGCATTTGGAAGAAAAAATATGTATTCTGGAAACTACCTTGCTGGCCATTTCTAAGTCTACGCCACTGTCTTGATCTCATGCACATCACTAAAAACGTGTGCGCTAACACTCTTAACACCTTGATGGACACCGGGGGGGACATCGAAGGATTCACTAGCCACACGCCTGGACATGCAACACTTGGGAATCAGGAAGGAGTTGCATCCTGTGGAGCTAGAGAATGGCCAGTTCGAACTTCCAGTTGCGTCATGGACATTGAAGAAGGAAGAAAAGCGTGCGCTTATTTCTTTCTTCAATGAACTCAAAGTCCCAACGGGCTACTATGCGAACCCGAAGAGGCTAGTGAACATGAGAGAACTCAAGTTCAACTATGGCCCTATGAAAGCCCATGACCGTCATGTCATTATGACTCAGCTGCTCCCTGTTGCCCTGCGGGGTATCCTCCCCCCAAAGGTCCGCGCCCCAATCATAAAGCTTTGCTCGTTCTTCAACGCGATCTCAAAAAAGGTCATTGATGTGTCCACGCTAGAGCAGCTACAGCAGGACATAGCTGAAACTCTTGTTAGGCTTGAGATGCATTTCCCGCCGACTTACTTTGATATCTCATTGCATCTGCTCATTTATCTTGTTGACCAAATTAGAGCCCTTGGACCAATATACCTGCATCAGATGTTCCCTTTTGAAAGATTGATGAAAGTTTTCAGGAGGTATGTTAGGAACAGATTCAGGCCAGAAGGGGGCATGGTTGAAGGATGGTCAACGGAGGAGGCCATTGAGTTCTGCACATATTATCTAGACATCAAAAGGGTCGGAGTTCCAGAATCTCGTCACGAGGGAAGACTACGTGGCAAAGGAACGATTGGGGAGAAATCTATTACAGTAGACGACCCTGTTTCTTTCAGACAGGCACAGTTCGCTGTTCTCTAGCAAGCCGAGGGTGTGATGCCATACATTAACGAGCATAGGCAATCGCTACAAACTCTGTATCCGAGCAGGTCACAGGCTTGGCTAGATAAAAAACATAAGGAGGAATTTGTCAACTGGTTGCGACGTCGCTTGCTTGGAATAAAGTTGGGTAATCAACTGAATGCCTTAGCCAAGGGACCTTCGAGTACATATCTTAAGTACCAAGGGTATGAGATCAATGGATTCACATTTTACACAAAAAAGCAAGATGGAAAGAGCACATACC